GGTCAGTGCCATGTGCCCCCAGCTCCCACCCAACAAGTCTGTGTGGAGCTGTGTGACTTTGAGGTCTGTAACCTGCACCTGGAACTGTTCCCTTGCACTGCCTCTGCTGGGGTCCTGGGCTGGGAAGATCCCACAGTGAGCATGAGTCCCGACCTGCTGTCACCTCCAGGTGCGCCCCACACCTGCGCTCTGGGCGCTCCTGCTAGCGCTGCTGGGAGCCAAGCCAGGCCGAGCCCCTCCTCATACCTGCAGTGTGCCCGACCTGCTGCACCACTACCGGGCCATCATTGCAGAGGACCTACAGGCTGCTGTGAGGAGGGGCGGGGAGCCTGGTGCCCGGCTCCCCCATGCCACTCAGAGAAACCCAGCTTCAAGGCCAGGCCGATCCTGGGCCTCCTGCAGCGACCAGGAGGTATGGAGGCAGCCCTGACCCACACCCACGCTCACCCCTCCCTGTTGCCCCTAGCCGGACTCCCTCTCCTACCTCCCCAGGAGCACAGCATTCTCCTGTCGATTGCTTCTCTGGGCCGGGCCCTGCGTGGAGCTGTGGCCGTGGGTCACCGTGGTACCCTGGAGACAGCGGCATGGACCGTGGCAGTGCGCACGGAAGCCGTGATGAGGCGCCACTGCGGGCTCCTGGGCCAGGTGTGCGTCCTTAAGTGAGCGCCCTCTCGCCGGCCTAGGGGCTGGCTCCAGTCCTCCATGGGGCAGGCGTGGGTGCCCTGCCCATTAGTCGACCACCTCCTCTTCCGCAGCAGCACCCGCAGCTCCAGGTGCGAGTCCCGCGGCGCCGCAGCAGCCAAAGGCAGCTCCTGCTGCGTGCTCTGGATGCCGTTGCCACCTGCTGGGAGAAGCTCTTTGCGCTGCGCGCCGCAGTCTGGCCTACCCGTCCTGCGCCCTGTGGAGGACTAAGGGGTCCACGACACAGTCTGGAGCAGCCCTTGGGCCCCTCTCCCAGGCGCCCAATAAAGCCTCATTAAACACAGCTGGGGACCCCACACCTGCGTGCCCGGTTCTAGTCCATTGTAGTTCCCTGCCGAAATGCGTGCCCTGGGAGGCGGCAAACTGGTTTAGCTCTATGGGTTCTGCCACATGTGTGGAAAACCCCACAGGTCATTTTCCGTTCCTGGCTACAGCCTCTGCCAGCCCTGGCTGTGGTGGGCATTTGAGTCGTGAACCAACGGCTGGAAGTTCGGTCCATGTGTCATCTAGCATTGTTTGTTTATATCTAACCCATCATCCATACCGCTGGTCCGTAGTATCACCCCTGCATATCTGTCATCCAGCCCGTCTGTCCCTCATCCTTACCCACCCCAGCATCCTCACTGCGTGCCTGCAGCTGCCCTGCTCTTCCCGGCAGGGGGCGCGGGCAACACGAGGGGAGGGAGCAGGGCCAGGGCTGGGCCTGCCGAGCGTCACACATCCGTCCTGTCCACTGCGGCGTGGGCCCGGGGAAGAGGTGGAAATGGGGTGGGGGACGCTGAGTGGATTCTTAGCAAAACAACCGGAAAAAGGAAACAGCCCCGGCTCGAGTTCAGCCGGCCATTTCCTGGTGCCTGAGAGGCCGAAGTTGGGGGGGGGGGCGGGTTGGGGGGGAGCATGGCGTGGGTGGTGCCCACCCCACCTCCACCCACACCCATTATCCTGGTTGCCCGTGGTTGCACCCGCAACTGTCAGCCCAGTCACCATTATCCTGGCAGAGGGGATCCGGGTGCGGGGCAGGCCTTGCCCAGGGCCCCAAGAATAGACTCAGGATTCCAGTCAGCTCCATTCACGCTAGGATGTGACCCTCACTCCCTGCCCACAGCGTCCCCGGTGCAAATTCCGTGAGGGCCTCAGTGTGCAAAGACCCCTCCCACTTGGGGTTGCCAGCTTCAGGTGGGGCCTGGGAGAGGGAGGCTGCACAGGAGGCGGGGCTGGGGTCCTCACCTTGAGATCCAGTGAGGGGAGGCTGCCAGATTTGGGGGGGGGGCTCTGTCTGGGTGCCAAGTGTGGCGGAGTTCAAGCAAAGAGGGCCTGGTTTAGAGCAGGGACAGCCCCTGTCCCCTGGGTGTGGCTCCCATACTAGTGCCGCCTGAGGGTCCTGGGTGTGACTCCTCTGGGGATCCCACACCCCTGAGTCCCACTGCAGATGCAGGCAGGACAGGTACTGAGCTGGTCCCACACGCGGAACTGGGCCCTGCTCTGACTCCACCATGCCCTCCCCCACCCCAGCTCATGTGTCTCCAGGGTCAGGAGTTCCCCTGCTGGAAGGCTCTTCATGCATAAAGCAAAGCACCAGGAGCCAGGGTCCTCTCACCCCAACTGCGCCCATGCAGGACAGCCTGTGGCCTTGGCCAACATGCAACTTCCCAACCAGGAGGCAGCCTCAGCGTGGGCAGCGCTGGGGGCAGCATCTTTGAAAGCAGCCCGGGTCCCACGCCCCAGGCGCCTTTGACATGCATCTGGAACCCTGCTGAGCGCAGTCGCCCTGCTTAGGCAGAGACTCGGGCTGCCCGGGAGGAAGCACCTGCCTGAGTGCCCCAGCTTTGTATGGGGACCTCAGGTATGCAAGTACCTCCAGTTTTGCACACAAACAAGTCCCCACACCAGGAAGTTGGGGGGGGCGGCACACAGGTGCAGGGATATTGTCCTGTGTGGCAGGTGGAGCGGCGCCATCTGGCCCCTCCCCAGGAGAACCCAAGGCACTCAGTCCTGGCCCCTGGCGACGTCACTGCCCATCACCCAGAGAAGCGCGCCTTTGTAGGGGATGCGTAAGGGGGCGCCAGTCTGTAGGATCGGCCAGGCATCTCCCAATTTGTCCTGGGAGTTCAGGTGTGGATTACGGCTCTGCGGACACCCCAGCAGGTGAGTGGCCTGGCCTCAGGCGGCCCTGGCGCCCCTGCCGGGCGCTGGGCCAGGGGTCGCGGCTGTGGCCTGTGATAAGCGCGGCCGGGCGCTTCCTGCGTTTCCTCCTGTGCCGGCGCTTCCTGTTTTCTCGCGAGGGCGGGTGGGCGGGGGCAGAGCGTGGATGTGGGCGCAGGGTTTGGAGGTGGGATGGGCATGGGCTCTGGGGTGGGGGCCGAGCCCTGGGTGGTCGTGGTGGGTGGGTGGGGGCATGGCTAGCTAGTGGCTCGGGACGGGCGTGGGGATGGAGGCGGGGCTACAGAGTACTGTGGGCCCCGGGCAGGCTGTGAAGGTGGGAGTGGGGCCCAGTGAAAGGTGAGGAGGATGACTGCACCCCACACTCCTTGAGTTCAGGTCTTGGTCCAGCCACTCGGCCAGAACAACAACCTCGATTCGGTCCAGCCTGGGGCCCAAGTGGCTTGGGAGGCTTGTTTAGGATTCCTGGTCAGCACACTCCAGCCCCTCCCCTTCAGGGTTCCTCAGCCTCAGTGTTGGACATAAATGTATGGAGTTTGTGTTCACAGCTGTGTGTGTGGTGGACACCAGGAACACACATGTTCACAGCTGTGTGTGTGGACACCAGGAACAGTGTGTTCATAGCAGTGCATGTACTGCACACCAGGAACATGTGTGTTCACAGAAGTGTGTGTGGTGGATACGGGAACACACATATTCACAGCAGTGTGTGGTGGACACCAGGAAACATGCGTTCACAGGAGTGTTTTACACTAACTCAAAGATAGGAATAGTCAGCCTGTCAGTTGACTGACAGATTGGAAGATGCATGTCCCTGGTGTGTGTGGAAAGTGTATGTCCTTGGCACCTGCTTGCAGCCCTGGCTTTCCTGGAGTGGGATCAGTTTCATTCAGCATCATCCCAGGCTGAGCTCTGGGCCTGGAAGAGGAGTAGAAGCCTTTATTGTGGGGGAGTGGGGTGTGTGGGAACCTTTCCCCCAGGTCTGCTCCTAACTCAGCAGCAGCAAGGAAATGGGACCTCATTCCTCAGTGCCTTGTGGTGAAGCCTGGGGCCTAGGAGGGACAGGGCCCTAGGAAGAAGGTCCTGGGGGGACCCCACCCCACTCTGGAGCCTGCTGTGATTGGACAGAGCCCCTTTCAGGTTGCCCCTGCCAGAAGAGAGCACCTGCAGGCTCAGCCCTGCCCCGCCCACTCCTACCCACCTCAGCCGGAACAGGGCTTTTTGCTTCTGCCCTTGAGGATGGCCCTTCTGTGAAGTGAGGGCTTGTGTGTGTCTGGATGTTGGGTGCAGGAGGAAGGTAGCCCCCAAAGCTCTCCTGCCTAGGTGTGCCCTGGCTGTGCTGCAGGAGTGGGGAGGGGAGACCAGGAGCAGCCTCCCCCCTAACCCCCCGTTGGAAACATCACCCTGCCTGGGAAATAAACCCTTCTCTTGCTGCACCAGGCAACTGGGCCATGTGTCAAGGTGGTAGACTCTGTGGATGCTCAGACACCTCCCTGCACACCCAGGGAGGTGCCAACTGTCCCATGGGGACTGTGTAAGTTGGACACAATTCCTCCCTGCCAGATGAGGTAAAAAATATCTTCCTACGAGGCCTGGCAGTATGTGTGTGCGGAGAGGGGTGCTTGTGCGGCCATATAACCTTGCCCAGGTGAGACCTGAGGAAGGGCTGTGCAGTAGGGAGCTGGTGGCAGGAAGAAGCCCCAGGCTGGCTCCTGGCCCCTGAAGAGCAGAGGGGGCACAGACCAGAGTGCTGATCTTGGGATGAGTGAACTGTGGGATGGGCAGCCCTGGTCTCAGCCCTGCTAGCCCCAGAGGTGACCAGAGGGCTGGGGCTCAGCCACGAGGTCTGATCCACACTAGGAACCTAGGGGTGGGGGTGCAGCAGAGGGTGTTGAGGGACTGTGCTTCCCCCAACCCAGCAACCACAGGCTCATGTGCCTTGTCCCAGTGGAGTTCTCTCAGTTGCCACTGTGGGTACATTGCCACTCTAGGAAGGAAGATTCTGAAGTTGAACCCAAAATTAAATAGGCTGTATTAGGTGTGCAGAAGGCAAAGTAAAAAATACAACCCGAGCTGAAGGGTACACTGCGGGAAAGGGAGTGCGCCTAAGGAGCTTGAGCAGCAGCCCCTGGGAACCCACCCGCGTCCGGCGCCACGCGCCGGCCTAGCCTGAGATGCAGGCGCTGTAGTAGACAGCACTGCTGGCGTCCGACAGCGCAGCAATCAGGCCGCTCTCTTCCGGGCAGGACATGGCGCGGGGGCCCAACTTGGCCAATGCCACGTGGTAAGGAAGCCCGGTGGCGTCGGGCCGAGTCCGGCTGCAGTTGAGGTACTGGTCGAACTCAGTGAGGTCCACATCGGCCCACAGATCGGCTGCGGGGCCCAGTGGCTCGGTGCCCTCCAGCGCCGGCGCCTCGGGCGGTGGCGACAGCGGCCCGGGGTAGGGGCCGGGTGCGCCCAGGCCTCCGTAGTAAAGGCCAGTGAGAGATGCTCCGGGAGCCGCGGTCCTGAGCGAGTCGGCCAGGGGCGCGGCGTAGCAGGCGCCGGGGTCTCGGGGCAGCTCCGCAGGCGGGTAAGGCGTACGAAAGGCTCGCAGCGCACAGTCCTCGGGCGCCGCAGGCGGCGGGAAGAAGGCGGCCTCGCCGGGCTCCAGGCCGTCCAGCGGCGAGCGCTCGGGCGTTGGCAACCCCAAGCCTTCGAACTCGGCGCCCAGTGGCGGCAGCTCCCGGAAAGCGCGGGTTGAGCCGTGGCCCGTGGGGTAGGGCTCCGAAGGCGGCGCCGGCGCCGGAGGTGCTAGCCCCGGCAGCAGGAGGCCCGGCTCAAGCCGCCGGGCCTTGCGCGCCTGTTTCTTGCGGCGCGGCCGGTACTTGTAGTTAGGGTGATCACGAAGGTGCTGTACACGCAGCCGCTCCGCCTCCTCCACGAAGGGTCGCTTCTCGGCGGCGTTCAGCTCCTTCCACGCTTTCCCTGCGGGTGGCGGAAGCCGATCAGCCGGCCCCCGACGGCCGCGTCGGGGCTCCAGCCTGCCCTCGCCCCAGCCAGCGTCCAGGCCCCAGCAGCCCTGGCTCTCCGCCCCGACCCCGCCCCGACCCCGCGACCTGGCCATCGCCCTGGCTCACCCAACATCTTGCTGAGCACCGCGTTGTGCAGGTCCGGGTTCTGCTGTGCCAGCCGCTTGCGCTCGTCCTTGGCCCACACCATGAAGGCGTTCATGGGCCGGCGAATGCGCGACTCGTCGGCCGCCTGGCGATCCCCGCGGCCCGCAGGGCTGAGGCCATAGCGCCCCGACTCGGGGCTGCGCGGCGGGCTGCGCGGCGGGCTGCGGGGCGCGGCGGGCGCGGCGGGCGCGGCGGGGACGGCGGGGAGGCCGCGCGGCTCGGCGGCGGCCCCGGAGCCCGGGGCCCACGCGCAGTCGCGGCGGGCGGGCGGCTCGTCGTGTGCGCCGAAGCCGGGCGGCGATCTCTGCATTCCAGCTGGGCACGGCCTGTGCGGAACGGAGCGCGGGAGCGCGGCGGCTGTTGCTGCGGGCGCGGACGGCGCGGGCGGCGGGCGGTGGGCGGCGGAGGGGACGGCAGAGGGGACGGCGGTGGCCCGCGCCGCTCGCGCGCTCAAATATAGCCACGCGGGGCCAATGGGCGGCGGGGCGGGCGGGCCGGACGGGCTGGGGCCGCCCCCTCCCCGGGGGCTCCCTTTCTTCTCAGGCCCCAGCTTGATTCCGCTGAAATCTCCCCGCTCGGAACTCACCCCCACCCCTGCTTTCCCCCTCAACTCTGAAGGAGACCCCCGAGTGGCAAAGGGCCGCCAGCGGGGGCCGGGCAGGCTTGAAGGAGGGTCCTCGTGGGGCTGCGGGCTGAAAACTTGCTGCTGTCCCACCGCAAAGCCCAGGGACCCAGCTGAGGGGCATGCAGTCTGGGCGGTCCCAGTACTGCCAAGGAGGTGGGAAAAACGGGGCAGCAGCTCCCCTGGGGCTTGGAGCCTGGAGGTCTTCCCGCAGGCAGGGATAGTTGCACCGGGTGGGGATCCAGGCAGGTCAGTGTACTGGCTCCTCAGAGCTCTGGGAACCTGGGGGCTCAGTCTCCTGCAGGCACAGAGGCCAATTCTGGCTGGATGTCAACCCCTCACCAGATCCCGAGCTCCCAGGCAGTGTCAGGGTCCTCCCTTCTCTGATGTCCCAGGCTCCTAGGTTCCTAGGCTGCCAGTGGTGCTAGCTCCTTTGGACCCAGATCTTGGAGTGTGTGGCAGGGGGCGGGTAGAAAATGGGTCTGAGGGGCCATGGCTGCAGTTTCCTGGGCAGCAGCTGTCCCGGAGCAGAGGACACTTGGGCTCTTGGGAAGGGTCCCTGTAGGACCTTTTGTGTAACCCCCACCTTAGGGAAGATTGATGGTCTTTAAGGAGACCTGGCCTCACCCTCTGGGAGCCCAGTCTGTGCACACAGTGGCCGGCAGCATCCGGCATTACCTCATTGTCCTTGCTGACCTCCCCACCACCACCACCACTGCCGGCCCCCCTGGCGCCAACCAGTGGTCCTCCCTCCCTCTTCGATGAGCGTAGGACCCAGGTGTCCAGCTATCCTGTCCCATCTGCCTGGGCTGATCAGGCAGCTCTGGGCAGCCCCCCTGCCTGTCTGCTGCTCCTACTGTCCAGATGGGGCTGTGAGCGGGTGGGCACTGCAGACAGGGTGGCCATGACCCTGGAGCCCCAGGCTGGCATAGGTGGGGCTGCTGTGCTGGAGCAGGCATCCATGCCGGCGCCTGTGTGTGGTCTGTGTGTGCCTGTCCCTCTGGTGTGTGTGTGTGTGTGAGGTGAGCTGCCTGGACTCTGCCAGGAGGAACAGAATGGGATGCAGGGGGCTCAAGGACCAAGAAGGTCTACAGTGCTCTGCAGGGCAGGATTCCTGAGGCTCCACTTTGCCCACCAGGGGGGCTTCTTTGCTTCCTGGCCTGGTCAGGAGGGAGGGGCCTTGTGGGAAGCCCCAGCCCCCAGACAGAGAGGTGTAAGGGACACAAAGGCCCCGCAAGCGTGGGGTTGGTGTTGGTGTCCACATCACCCTCCCTGCCCTCTACTCACTCCACCTCCGCCCCCCCCCCCTTGGCTAGGATAAGACCCCTAGCCTTGGGGCCGGGTGGCTGCAAAGGATGCTGGGAAGTCCCCCTTGGTGGCTCTGGGTGGGGGCTTGGCTCAGCTCCACTGGGCGGGGGGCAGTGGGACCTCCCAGACGCTGCCTGGCGCAGACCTCCCAGGCTCCCTGCAGCCCAGGGCGGCGGCTGTAGGGGCTTCGAGGCTGGGACCAATTACTGCACCCTGCGGGGCCGGACCCTCCTGCCAGGCGGGGGTGGGGTTTCCAACTCCCCAGCTGCCAGACCCTCAGAGCTGACCCCCCACACTTCCAGGGTCACTGCTCAGGGCTAGTCTGGCCTCAGAGGCCAAGTTCCCCTCAGTTTCTGTGTTGGGGTCATGGCCTCCGGGGAGAGCACTGGACAACCTGATGAGCCAGAACGAAGTGGGCACACACATCTGCACAGTGACCAGGGCTTGCCCAGGAAGCTGGCTATTGACTTCCTGCCATGAGTACTGGGACATGGCACGGTGGAGGGTGGCAGGCAGGGGCCTAGACAGTGGCATGGAGTGTCTGGACCAGGGTTCGGGCTGGATGCAGAGTTGGCTATGGTCCTAAGAACCCAGAGTGGCGGACGAAGCTGGGCACCAGTGGAGGCACTTGGAGGAATCAGGCTGCAGAGGTTCAAGGACCTGGGGTTCCCACCTCAGTGGGCGTTGCTGCCCGCCTTGGCCTCCCTAACATCCCTGGCATCCAGGCCCTTGACCCTGGGTACCTTAGGTGGGGATGGGGGCTGTCCATGGCACAGCAATGCAGGTGTGGGACAGGTGCCCGGTGGTGGGAATGCTCTGTGGCTGCTTCCAAGGTTCCAGCATAGTGAGGTCTCAGAGGCTGTGCCCAAACGCTGGAGGTGCTGGCTGGGAGCTGGGGTGCCAGGCTGTGTGTGCACCCTGGGGGCTGTTGTCTGCCTAGTGGTTGTATCCTGGCGGGTGCAACAAGCTGTGTGGGCCTCCCCAGCTGAGCCCTCCATGGGAACCAGCCTGGGGGTGGGGAGGCTGGGCTGGTTTCCACAGCAACAGCCAGGCGGGGCCAGGAAACTGCAGCTCAGGAAGGAAGGCTGACCTGCTGTTGGGCTGAGGAGGGAGTCAGCCTGGGCTGAGCCGGCGCCAGGCCTCGGTCCAGCTGCCCAGCCCCGCTGGCTGTGCGCCTGCCCCAGTTCTGCTGGCCCCAGCCCTGGCCCTGCCCCCGACCGGGTGCCTCTGTGCAGGTCTCAAGGTCCTGGGCCAGGGTCTGTGGGGACACGGAGGACTGCTTGGGGGTCCCTGTGTCTGCACATTTAGGGGTCAGGGTTCTGCCTGACTGTCTTGCCTGGGTTTGCTCCTCACGCACCCCCCTCTCTCCGCCTGGCCCTGTCAGACAGTGAGGCCGAGCATTCTTGGCTGCCTCCCACCTTGGCCTTGGCAACTCAGCCCGGGTGTCAGGCAGCCCCTCCTGCCAGAGGCAGGAGCCTGCACCTGTGTGTTATGTCTAAGGAGGGGACCTGCACCTCCATAGCACTTAGAGCTTGAGATTGCAGGCCTGGACAGAGAAGCCTGGGTCAGGACCCCACTGCCTGTCTACTGTTGGGACAGCACCCAGAGGGAGCCAGTAGGGACGGGGGGGGGGTTGGACATGTGGGGGAATGCATGGCAGGAGTGAATGTGTCCTGGGTGCTGCCAGGCAACCACCACCTCAGTGACCTAGGCTGTGTGCCAGGCCTTCAGGCTTTACTCACAGCCCCCTGACCCGATGGCTGCTCAGGGTCCCTGGGGAAGGGGAGGGTGGTGTGGCCGCCAGCCCGGCGGGCAGGGAGGGCTGGGAGGGCAGCATTTCTGGGAATTGTGGGGGGAAGTGCATTGTTAGCCTCAGCTGGAGCTGCTGCCAGGGCCACCACTGGCCTCTGGGGGATGCCCCCTGTCCCCCTGTCCCCACCCCCAGCACTGCCCTGGAGGAGGGAGCTGGGCCCAGGCCAGAACTGTGGGTGGGGCTGGGGACTTTCCAGGAGTCACTGCGCAGCAGGTGGCTGTCCCCATCCTTGGGACCCCTGTGTCCTCTACTCCTCTGTGGGTTGTAGGCAGGCGATGAGGCCTCCTGCTCAACCCTAACCCTGGTCTCCTCCAGTCTGTTGTAAGCAGCATGAAGAGACCGGACAGGGGTCAGCTGAGGCGGAAGGCTGATGGTGTGGGGTCTGGAGGAAGCTGAGCTGCACCTCCCCAAGTGCCAGGGGCAGGGCAGGGGCTCCTGGGCTGTGAGCTCCCTGCCCCTGGGGTTGTAGGAAACGAGGGTGGGGGCTCCCACCACCATGGCCTTGGCTCAGCCAGAGGGGAAGCATTGATGTGGGCAACAAGGGTCATGGTCGGCCAAGGAGGGCAGGGCTGGGAACACAGAAGAGTAAAAGGTCTGCATTTCTGATGCTTCCAGATGGAGGGCAGGGGAGGGCAGCCTGCCAGGGTTAGGTCCTGGGTCTTCCTCCTGGTCCTCCAGGGCCTTGTCCACCCCATTAGCCCTCTTTACTGGGGTGTATCCTCCCAGAGCCTCCATGACAGTGTCACCACACACGGGTGCTCAGAGAAGGTGGAGGGAGGGACTCCTAGTCTGGCTGTTTGACTGAGGAGTGGTACCCCCTGGCTTACCCCAGGTACTGGGCTATTCTTGGGGCTGGGGTGAGGCAGATACCTGGCTGAAGCCATACCGGGGACTCTATGTGTACACCTGTGCGTATCCACACATGCCTGGGGTGTGTTCGGGGCTCCATGTGTGTGCACGCGTGTAGACGTCCACACATGCCTGGGGCATGTCCAGGACTCCACGTGTACACCTGTAGGTGTCTGCATATGCCTGGGGCTCCATGTGTGTAGACATCCACACTTGCCTGGGACATGTCCGGGTCTCCACATGTGCATGCATGCAGGGTCTGCACATGCCTGCGGTGTGTCCAGGACTCCATGTGTGTGTTTGGGTGTTCAAGGAGGGTCTTGATGCTGCCTCCCTGTGATGCAGGGACTGAGGAGTCACAGATCTGAGTAGGGCTGCAGAAATCGGGAACCTTTGCAGATCCTGGGAAGCGTCAGAACTGGCCCGTGTTGCAGCCCCCGCCCGTGAAGGCCGGTTCCCTGGGTCACCATGTTATCCTCACTCTGGCTGCATCTGGGCCTATCTGGTGGGCTGAAATTCTTGTTGGGGACTAGCAGAACTTCTCTAGCAGCCGCGGTCTGTGCTCCCAGGCCAGTCCTTGGTTCACGCCTGCCACCTAGAGGCCACCAGCTCCACATCAGCCTGCAGGACAGGGCTAATGTCCCACCCTGGCTTCCATCAGGACCTGGGCCTGCTAGGCAGGGGGCTCCTGGTTCCACTTTGTAGTCCCTTACCTCTTCTGCACCCCGACTTTCCTGTGCTGTTCATACCTTCCTTCCCTTCAAC